CCTCGTGGGGGTATCTCAGCGCCCCGGGGGGGGGGGGGGGGGGGGGGGGGGGGGGGGGCAACGTTCGGTATCGAGAACATCATACGGTTTGTTGCCTGATTATGGAGGACCATGGCATGACGAACGCCAACCAATCTGTGTAAAAGGACGAGTGTCTAGCATTGCTTTCACAGGCGTCCACCCGCTCGCCCTCCGCTGCTCCGGCAGGGTCGGGGTCTGAAGCTCTGGCAAACCTTACTTCCAGGTGGGAGGCCCTAGACAGCGACAAGTACCCGGGGGCAGGCATCGGGACCCTGACTCCAGGGGGAAGGTTGGACCCTCTGCTCGCGTACGCGTACGACGCTGCCTTTGTCCTGGCCACGGCAGTGGCGGCCGTGCAGTCGACGGCAGCGGATTGGGGAGGCGTCTTGGAGGGGTTCGTGACGGGAAAGTGAGTGTTTTTGTTGTTGTCGTGCTTGTTGTTGTCTCTGTAGCTATTGTTGTGGTTGTAGTTGTGGTAGTTTATGTTGTTGTATGAGGGGGAATAATAATGTCTAGACTTCCCTAGGCTTCCCTCCGGAAACACCTTGTATGTAATTTACGCGCACGCGTGTTGATCTCGCTGTTGTCGGCACCGTCAGTCTCGTCAAGAGCTTTCCGAAAACGCATATCGCACACCCTGAGCCGATTTTTCACAGCTCGAACGCTACATACAGCAGAAACGAGAGGCGGTGTCGAAGATGGCGTGGTTAGAACCGACGTGTCGAGCTTCCCGAAAAGGCAATCTTTGGTTTCTACATGTTCTTGGTCGTGAAGCGGTCGACGTTCGAACGTCGGCCTATGGGATGTGAATATGATGTCATCCACGGCATACTTATTCTGCGTACCCCGCACACACATACTCATGCGTGTGCACCGGGAAATGAATTATTTGTACCTATAGTGCCTGTGAATTCTACCACAAGGACACATTGAAATCTTTGGCTGAAACCTCTATGACTCTCCGTACCGAAAGTGATGCAGGACGACGCTCAAAGGACATGAGATGGACCGCAGTGCAACATTTCCTGGGCTTCTGGGTGGCGTCCTCCTTGCGTGACCCTCGATCGATGGTCCCAAAACACACCCAAAGGTGTAAAAAACGACGTAAATACGCACGCGACGGCCGACACAAAGGGGAAATATACCATGGTGCAGGAAATATACCAATGCGCTCCGTTCCGGCATGCTAGGGATGCCAAGACAATGCTCTTAAGACGACGGCAGGTTTGATCATGCGTACCCCCTCCCCCGCTGTCCCCTCTAGGACGCGTGGCCGGCGACATCCAGAGAAGGCATGCAATACATGAGCTCCCCCCTCCCCCCCCCCCTCGATCCTATCCAGTTGTCCCTTCAGGGCGGCGGGGCTCTGGCAGGACGGGGCCTTCATCAGGGAGGCCGCGCTCGGGACCGAGATCGTCGGGGTCACCGGCCCGGTGGCCTTCCGGGAGTCGGCCTCAACCGTCACGAGCGGCGCCGGCACGGCGGGCTCCGGGTGGCGGCGGACCAACGGCACCGAGTTCTGCGCGCTGAACCTGCAGGCGCACGCCTCCCTCGGCGCGACCTTCGAGGCCACCATGCTCTGGAGGCCGGAGACCTTCGTCGACACCAACGGGACGCTTGCCACGTTCGAGGTGCCCTGTTCATACGCCGTAATCGCCGTCACGGACTTGCCTACTCCCCTACATATCCCTTGTTGCATTTATGAGCATATCTAAAGACATAGATAGCACAGGGGAGCTTCTTCAACGGTTCACGCCCCGGCTCCAATGGGTCTGAAAATTTCAATCTCATCTTTACCGGGGGGAGGTGGAATTTTCCCAAAGCGTCTTAATGGTCGATGACCGCCTGCATCCACGTTAGCTGTACGCTTTGATCGGTTTTCGCAGCCGAAGATTTCTGCGCAATGAGCAGAGCTCCGCCAACGGCCTACAAGGGATGGCATGGAAAAGGAGGCGTCACTGAAACCTTTCGATTTGTTCGATCATTTTCCAAGGCGCATCCGTCGGTGCGGTCAACGTTCATGTGGAGAGATTGAGTCGCGCACATGGCAGAGGATGGGGGGTCTCGTGTCGCACGGGTGTTAGAGTGTACGGGGGGGCTGATGCGAACTTGTTGTGTTGCTTGGTGGGATATGTTGGCGTGGGTTGTTGTTGTTTCTGCTGCTGCTGCTGCTATCGGTATCGCTGTCGTGTTGGTTGTGATTTGGTCATGATCGCTGCTGCAGCGGCCGCTGCTGGTGTGTTGTTGTTATTGTTGTAGTTTTTTCTTTGTCGTTGCCGATGATTAAAACGCACGGGAATAGTTTTGGAATTCTTCCTCCACCCGACTGCTGTTGCACGCTCTCCTCCGCTTTTGCGTGCCTCTGACAGAAAATCAGTCCGAATCAAAAGAACCAGACTTTCCCCTCAGGGGGCGACGTATATCCGTTCGATAGGCCCACCTTAAGCCGTCAGCATTTCGAGGTGAGCGTAACCCGATGTCCAGGTGAGCGTATCCCCAAGCAACCCAGGCAAACGGGGTTTCCTGTAGGTGCTTCATTTGCATTTTTATGTTGTACGTCACTACCTTCAGACTTGAAAAGTTCGAGTGGGCTGCTGCTTTGTACATGTGACAAAGTTTTTTCTCTGGGCGTGTTGTAAACCGTCAAGGTTTTCCGATTTTGAGCCACTGACTTCGAGGTAAGCTCCTTGCAATGCATCCACAACACATGAGTTCCTACGGGCGTGCTGTACAATGTCGCGTGTTTCTCACCCCCACTGTCAGTCAATGATTTGAGTGAGCTGCCGACCTATATCGAAGGCAACGGGTCTCCTGGCATGTTGTTTATGTTTGATTTTTTCCAACCAGCGTCAGTTTCATCAGGATTCTTCTTTGCCAATCAATGTATATGACAGCAACTCTTTGGCAGGGCGTGACTTTTACTGAGGTACGGTGACATGTTTTTTCTGAGTAGCGTGATGGTTTCCCGGAGTACGTCGCCTTTGGTTTCTCGTGACGCTCAACGTTATTGTCTCGCACCTGCTGGACTTTTCCACCAAGTACTGCCGATGCTGTACACTGTCGCCATTTTTTCCCTATATTTTTTCCCATGTTAATGTATAGGTCATCACCGAAGAGGCCACCGTTCCATTCGCGTTCATCACTCGTCGAGAAAACCAAACGGAAGAATACACAGGAATAGCCCTGGATTTGCTCGAGGTGTGTGTGTTGTGTTGTTGTTGTTGTTGTGGATTGTCGTCGTCCCTTGGTAAGTCCATGCAACTGCTTCTCCCACATCGCGTTCCATTCAGGAAATTACCAGTCGGAAAACCGTCTCCTGGCCCCTCCGGCTGCACCCCCTCCGACTTCCTTCCGATGGACGCCTACCCAAACCACCGCTCGTGTCAGAAGCCGACTTCTGTTGCCGTAACGGCTACGGTTTATGAGAGATTGTGTAAGGAGAAAGCACGGGTTCAAGGAAGAACATACGGCATATTCCGGCTAGCACATCTTAATGAGAAATACTTTATCGTACCGTTTACATACAACAAACGGGATTTTGGAAGGTGATTGGTTTGTCCCCACCCTCTCTCAACCCGTCGCCTGAAGGAAACACCCCGACTCCTTAGCGTTTTGAATCTCATTTCTGCTGTTTTCATCTCCTCCTCCGTCCCTCGTTTGCTTCTTTTTGGGGAAATGTTGGTCAACGATGTGGGGTCGATGACGAAACCACAAACAAAAACAACAACGACGACGACGACGACGACGACAACGTCAGGTTCTCTCTGGCCGACTAGGTTTCACGTACAACATATCCGTGGCGAACTCTTCTGTCTCCACCGATGAGGTCATTGGCTACGTCTCGAACGGGACCTACGACATGGTGGCGTCATGGGTGAGGCCCCCGTACTCTGCGGTGTCACACACGATCGTGCCACCATGCACGTAGTACATTCTGAAGATATCCCTTGTCAGGAAAATTATCTATAGATCGAATCAAGTGTGGCTATGGCGACTACTCTCATTGGCAGGAGTACATTAAGACAACGTCGCCGTGAGAGCTACCATCTGCAGGGGCGAGCAGCAGCTGTGTAGAAGCGCTACCGGCCGTGGGAACGTTCTTGGTAATGTTCTCCTGCTTGGGTCGTCAAGGCCAATACCTACTTCAACAAGAGGAAACTTACACTTGGACAGATGGTAGCCAAAAAACTCCCATTATCTGGGTCGATAACTTGTTGTCGACAGCAATAATAGCGGCCGGCGGACTGGGTCGATACCGCAACCCACATTATGTGTCTGTTCGCGTGAGCAAGCAATCTAGTCTCGACTAACCTTAACACGTATCCAGACACCTGTGAACGTGGTTGTTGTCAACAGCTCCACCAACCCTATCCCAACTCCGAGAACTCGAAAGGGCTTGGTTCTTTTCCGCCACAGACACTGAAGTCCCGAATTGTTACTGCCTAACCCTAGGTTACCATCAGCGAGCGCCGACTGGACACAGTGTCGTTTTCCTACCCTTTCATGGCGACGGGGCTGTCCTTCGTCTACCGACCTGAGGTTCTTGACAAGGTGCGAAGCCGACACTTCTTCCAAGCCTATCCTCCTGCACATATTTTGTCATGTTGCTTCCAAGTCGAATAGCGATGTCACACCTCTTGGGCCGGTTTGAATGATGAATGACTCCACGACGAAGGGGGTGCCAAAATCAAAGGATGCGTTTCCGAAAGCTCTTTATGATACGGCTCCGATGCCGCGAGTTTAGGCACCGTCACCGAAAGATTTAACCGAGCTTTGACTAATCGGTCCAGGGGGTGTGGTATCTTATACCTCATGCAGTAGAACACATATCTCAAATACGCCCGCCTTTTCAAGCTACGGCCCGAAGAAGGTTAAGTCCGTTGGAGAGTGTGGCCCCCGGGGTATTTCTCTTGGATATAACATGAGTACCCCGTGTTGTCCAAACGCCGCCTTTGGCTTTCAGGTAAACTGGTGGAAAATGTTCCAACCGTTCGAGCGGCAGCTCTGGATTCTCATCACCGGGACGACGGTGGTGATGGTCGCGCTACTTTGGCTCTTCGATGGCGCAAAGGTGTGATCACACTGGACGGGATTTCAAGAAGATTACTGAAGCACAAATACGCATGCGTCTATCGTCCCGAATGATCTGGACTGAAGTTTGTACGTCTTTCCGTATGATTTAATGGAAGCATCACAGAAGAGGAAGGCCACACGGGAGGTTTGTAGTTCTACGCCGCTCTTCGGCGGTTCCGGCCTGAACCGACCGATTGGGGGGTTGGTTTCTTGTGAAGACGGTCAACACGGTAGGTTAGCACAGAGGTGGCGAGTAAGAGGTTTCTCGGCATGGCATCATCTTCGGAAAGCTGAAAGCGGAACCGCGTATATTTGCTGGGTCCCGTATTCGACCATAAGCATTTCTCTGTCTCTTCGATCGGGTAAATCCACATGTGGGAAGCAATTCTTGCCAACCTTCAGAAGCGTATGACATTCTCTATGTGTCAAACCAGCCCGTTTGGACGACAAAGTGTCGGGTTTCCTAGCCACGGCAACCCCTGTCTACGTAGCGCCAGCTTGGTCCGCTCGAGGCGTCGAAAGTTTGTTAGGCTGTGTGTAGAACCACGCTCACCTGCCGCGCTCAGATAAACGTTGTTCGAATCCTGGTTTCTGGCGCTTTGCTGGTTCCTGTCAGGCGTGACAGAAATCAGGCAGCAATCAAGTTTTTCCGACGACCAAACGAACCTATCTAGCGTTCGTTCTGATTTGCGGAGCTTTTGATAAACGCCATTTCACTCTTTATCGCGGAAAATCGTGGGAGTTGCTCATTGCATCCCGCACCGATTGACCACGTGGAAACCCTGTGAAATCTTCCTACACCAAATTTTTGGCGTCCTGCAGAACGAGATTTTCACGGACGGGGTGCCCACGGCGACCGGCAGCAAACGGCGGCTCTCATCGGTAAGAGTTGCGGGACAACGTGTAATTAGTAGAACTGTTTTTAAGTTTCATGTAGCATGTTCTCAGATCCGTAGATGCTTATGCTACGAAGCTGGGGTATCCACATAGGAAATCAAAACCGAACCTCGAATGTGCGTTCAGTAGATCTACATTGTGCTGGAAACAAACCTCCTGTGCCGTCCTGCGCTCTCCGGGGCTCTCTGCTCCTGCGCAAGCCGCCCGAGACACGAGGCACGTGATGAGTCGTCCACAGCTTTGAGAGATGTGTGCATCTTGCCAAGTGGGGCCCCGGCCAACGAAAACGCATACCCAAACGCCACCACTTCCCCACACGCCCACATCGGAAATCCCCCCCATGGTATCTAACGTTCTTCGCGACCAACCAATCAGGGCATGGCGATGTCGTCGTACGTGACGGGGGCCCTGCTGATGGGACAGATGGTCCACGCGCCCTACACCGTCGAGAGCTATATTCTGACATCGGGATGGATGTTCGCGTGCTTTATCCTTGGGGCGTCCTTCACCGCCGAGCTGGCGTCATTCCTTGCTGCAGAAAAGGAGGAGGCCCTGGTGCGGCGGCGGCGGCGGTCCTGTCACTCATATTGTCATTTTGTAGATCTCGTGCATCGAGTTACATTCTTTATTTTCTCACATCGTGCATGCGTCGCGTTATGCTCTGCTGCATTCCCTGTCCATTCATGCGATGCTATTATTTCGAGACGGGGTCTTGCTCTAGTTGTAGCTTTCTGCTTGTAGCAATAGAAATAGTGTATCGTATATCGTACATCGAGTTACATGCCGCCGTGCTTCAGATTGTGTATGCGTAGTATGAATCGAGTTACATTCTGTATTTTCTCACATGCGACGCGTTACCCTCAGCTAGAATACGACATGCCTTTCGATCATGCGATACTATTATCTCGAAGAGGGTTTTTGCTTTCTGCTTCTAACAATAGAAATAGTGTCTCATTGTTTTAGACCACCTACATGTCCATCCATTTTCGCACGATAATGAAACGACACCCGTTTTCATTCACCCTGAGCGGTGATGTCGCATTCTCTGTTTGCCTGTTTGTCTGTGTATCTATCTGTCTGTCTGTCTGCCTGCCTGTCTGTCTGTCTGTCTGTCTGTTTCGATATTTTTCTGTTCGTAATAACTACCCAGTCTTTCGGGGTGGACGATCTAAAGAATGGGGCAGTGCCACATACGCAGGTGAGCCATCAAGCGGCCGAAAACGACGCCACCATAGAATGTGCCCCCCTCGCCCTCTGTGACCGGCGGATATCCGCGACGTTTAATCTTGAAGATTTTGATATCGCGCTGCCACTTTTCACGGTCGTACCGGAATTTTTCAAACGGAAACGGTGGTTTGACTGGCTAATACTCGTTCGGAGATTTTCGCTGCTGCGAACAAGAACAACGTGTGGCAGAGGAGGATGGGTGACACACGTTTCGAGAACAGTTTTCGAATTTGGTGCAAAATATCAGGTGGCGGTGCGGCAAGAGGACACTCTGCAAGCGTTCTACGAGGAGGAGATCATGGGTTGCTACGGGGAAGCGGAATGCTACGGAGGTACAGTACATGTACGCGGTGGAGTTTGTTCCGTTTCGCGGGAGGATTTCGATTTCGCGGAGGCTAACTGAAGTAGTGCATTCGCGTCAGTCTTCTTAGTACGTGCGTTCCTCTAGAGTCCTCATATCACCTACCAGCATCCTGCGAGTCGATCCTTCGGCGCATGCATCGGGAATGAATCCTTGCCTCACAAAGTACATGTCACCCTGGTTTTAGAAGGTATGCATGTCGGGGTAAGCTGCTGTATCTTCAAGGCAAGAAGCGGGTGAATGTGTTACAGTTCTTCCTTCTGGATCTTCCGACGTCTTCTCGAGTGCGCGCCACTAATCACGCCTCCCGTTCCCCACGGGTTTCAGGCGGAGACCAAAACGTTCCGGTCACGTGCTACACGATCGATGAATGCTTTGAGTTGGTGAGAGGGGCCGCATCGACGGTCAACGAAGAAACTCCTGCTGCCGCTGCTGCTCATTGTTGCGGTTGCTGCTGCTGCTGGATGTTGTTGACTATGTAGCTGAAGCGTGACTGTGTTTTGCTCGGTATTGGGTCTGATCAACGCGTCTATTGTCATATCTCAAATTGCTTGAGTGGCATGTAACAGGTGAGAGACTTTTGTTCTGGCTGTTGATTCCGCTGCACCGTGGTAGCGGCGGAGTGTGGTCTTGCCCAGGGGTGGAAAATTGAAGCGTTATTCTGTCTGGTGCGGCTACGACGAGAGTAGTCAACGCAAACCAGAGTTTAGGTCTGTGTTCAAGAGTTTGGGGCTTGCCGTTTGGGAGTGATGAGGCAGTCACAGGCGTATCAACACACATACGAATGGCACGCAGCTGTCATGAAGACAAGGTGCAGACCAACGATATCTTTTGCTGTTTTTGACAAGCTAGAGGGGGGGGGGGGGTCCTAGCATCGTTTCGTAGCCGTTTTGATCCAGCTCGTTGCATTATTGCCGCAGACTACAGTATGCCCCGTCATACGTACTGGAACAAATATTACGGAAGAGGGGAGAGAAATATACGATTCACGGAGGTATTGGCATTTCGCGATGCTTCAGTTTTGACGTGGCGATGCCGTTCGTTTGCCGCCCATCCTCGCAGCTTAAGCTGTGCGTATGTGTTTCGTCCGTTCTCGGTAGGAAGTCCGAACGGTGAAAGTTGAATGCCGCTTCCGGTGTCCGTCCGCACGACAGGTGGATAACGAGACCGTCAAGGTAACCCTCGTGGACTCCATCACGGCTGCGTACCGAGTGGCCGACGAGTACTGCGGCCTAGACATCCTATCCGAAACCTTCAACAAAGGGCACTGTGAGCGGAGTTGACCAATGAGTAACTTCGCCGGCGTTCCGAGATGTGTGTTATTGTCTCTCTATGCTGGCAGGCCATCCCAACAGTAGTATAGACAAGTACTTTGATCTCCGCATTCACCCAAAAACACATGTCTCCAGTGCTATCTATCTGCCGTGTACGTTATTTCTGTGAGGTGCGCTTTCTCAAAGTTCTGAGTAGATCAGTTTGTCCGCATCAGCAAAAACGTACGTGTATTTTCTGCTCTTTCTGTCGTGTGCGTTATTTCTGGGGGCAGGCCGACATAGGTTGCTACATAATTGTGTTTCCACATTTATCTCTACCTTCGGTTGTGCTCACCACGGTCATCCTCCGAACATTTCGCCAGGTCAGGATTCGGGATGTAACGGGGAACGTGTCGACTAGGGAGTGTCCCGTCGACTTGGGGATGTCCCGAGCAACTCGCTTTTACCGAGAGTGCAGAAGTTTGGATTGCGGTTCATGTTTTGGCCCAAATAGCGATTGGTTGGGCGTGTTGCTTGCAAACTTCGCCCCTCCACCCAGACTTTCGTCATCTGTTCAACCTGCCACCGCTACCAACTCGCCTTTCCCAGCGACACACGTGTGGGCGTCATCTCACCCCCCCCGGACTGCCGTAACCCGTTTCACTTGTCACCGTCATCAACACGCTTCCCTCTCCGAAAGTCGGATTGGTTCTGGAGAAGGACTCGCCCTACCTCGGCGAGTTTGAATTGGTGAGTGAGAACACCGCGTCTGCCGCTTCACTGAGAACGCGCCACCATGTAGAAACAAACGTGTCCTGCATAAACCCAACCATTGATGTTCACAACGACGTTCACCACCCCCCATATCATTCGGGCATGGGGGTTGTTCATGTGGAATATATCCCGTGAGCGTGCGGACTTCGGTCCTAAAGCGCACAACGTCACGTAGGATATCGGATATATTGAACGCCCTGCAATTGAGTATACAAATATTATGAAGTACCCCATATGGAAGTTGTCCACCTGGAGTACATAGTCTATGCAGATCATTCTCCGAAGTGTATCACACACGAAGCGACGTGTTCGCAGTGTGTGTCGCGCCTGTTGTGTGCAAGTGCGCCAAGATCGAATTCCCTTGGGGTAGAAATATAGTCGTGCCTGCTGAATGTGAAACGTTTGGTTAGCCAGGATGCCCAATCAACCCATGGTATCATATCTGGATTGGCACAGCCAACGCAAGCGAGATGACCAGCGTCTGGTTTATGCCTGTGAAACAAAGCCTGGGCCGGCGAAAACCCGGCATATCGCTCTGTCCCGGCATTGTAGGGATACGAGGTCTATGGCCGAACGACTGCGGCATGCATTTACATGGGTACCTCCCGCGCGCCACATATTTCATTTCTTTGGCATGCATGCGGAAGAGTGGTTCGGAATTCACGAAATGTGAAACATGCGTCCGCAATAGCATATTTCCGTTTGGGGTTCCTCCTCACTGATCAGCTTTGGGGCGAGGGTTGCACACAACATTGATTCTTGGTTGTCGTCCGTTCTGTACGCCACAACAAGGAGGGTGTTGGGTTGGCATGAGCTGCACCACACCATCCCGTGAGATGCTCACACTCACGACACAAGTGTGCCTGTGTTTTTGTGACCATGGGCAAGAATTTGGGTAAAGATTGGGGTTAGGATTAGATGCCATCACTCAGGTCGCACGGAAAACCGGGTCGAATGCGCGTGCAATGAGCCGAAGACGCCAGCAATATCTCTGCCGTGTTAACAGCAAAACCTACACCGTGCATTACTTCTGTAACGGACGTTCGAGAACATGATCTCTCACTGGTGGGCGGTAAACTGGGACGTGTCTTTGTTGAAGGCGCTCTGTATGGAGCATCTATTCACAACGGAGGGTGCATAGCCAGGTTTTCTCGGCAAGGGAATGCACGATCAAGCGCCCTCCCCCGGCGGGCCCGAAATGTTCAGTATCGACTCTTGCACCCAATCCTACTGTCAGCGCTGACATTGTGAGTTGACCGATCTTACGCAACGAAGATACCAGTGAGGCTCAACATACTCGTGCTTCGCTCGGCGGCGATCGATCTCTGCCTTTGTAGCACGTCTCCTAGCCGGTGATACTAGCCCATCTAGCGGGCCCAGTCAGCGCTGACATGATTACATTAGTAGGTTTGCCTGTCCAACGATCAACAGATGCCTTTGACGCTCGACATACCCGTCCATAATTCGACAGAGACATTTGACTCCAACGACAAAGGTAGGAGTAGTCCGCATGTTTTGAGTTCGTGTTAGGTGGTGAGGGCACATCTAAGGAACAACCATCTGCCCCTGTACTACCTCCATCGGCCTACTTACCGCCTCGACCACCCGCTGTCCCCATTTCCTATAGGCCATGCTAGAGCTGGAAGAGGAGGGGACGCTGGCAGACATTACCGAGCCGTACTTCGACACGTCCCGGTGCGCCTACCTAGAGGACTACGAGGGCGCAAGCTCGACGTCCCAGAACCTTAAGCTGGTGGACCTGGCGGGCGTTTTTCTAATCCTCACGATGTTCATGGCGGCGTCCCTGGTGGTGTGGGTGTTCCGCAAGTCGTTCCAGGCCAAGAAGAAGTGGTCGGCGTACCGCGTTGAGCAGAAGGAGCGGCGGCAGTCGCTCACCAACGCGAAGGTGGGCATGAGATTTTTTCCTACTCTGCCACGTCCTGACGTTCACATCTACAACGCCAACAACGCCATTCATGCTGGAGATGTTACTGAGTTTTCGAGAACTGGACATTCAAGACAATCGATGTGTGTCCCAGATTTGTGCGCACATCGTGCGCGGTTCCGACGACGCCGCTGACCTCCGGAACTACACTGTTGTTTCGTGTTTCTGCATTGTGTGCTATGACGGCATCAGCAATAATGACCTACCATGCAAACGAAGAAGATCGGCGCAACTGTCAACCAGAGTGTATTGTCTGATTGTGAACTGTCGTTGTTTATTGCTCCAAGACGGCCTTCAAGCGGGCACGAGAGGATAACCTGTGTCAGGTTTTCTGTCCCTTTCCCCGAAACTCTCGTATTTCAACGGAATGCGGTTTCATACCTTCTTGAAACCACGGTGATAATGGTTAGATGTACGCGAAACAGCAGAGTTACACAGATGTATAGACTCTTGGTAGTCGAGTCATACCAAAGCCACAGAATTTCTGCCAGTTCAAAACCAGCAAAACCAACAAGCGGAACAACTCACTCCACACGGGCAACTCAGGGATACCCACTCATCCCGGTACCTCCCCTAAGAACACCTTGTTGAATCTTCGGAACTCTTGAAATCGTCGGACAGACGTCGGGGGAAGAGGTGGGTCATTTAGACCCCGACCAAGACCTCGACACACGGACCAACAGCTGGCCGCTGCTCTCTCCCAAGGCACCTGCTTCTTCGACCTCCTTCGCGATGACGATGTAGACGACGGGCCCTTCTTCCGAACATCAGCAGCTTCGACCACCCGCAACCACCACTGGGCACCGCGAGCGCCTGCGGCGACGGCGGCGAGGACAAGGAGCGTCGTCTTCTGACGAGACTTCGGCGGCTTCACGGCAACTTCACCACCTGCAGCAGGCCACCATCTCGGAGGGGTCCGAGTCGAAATTGTCAGAGGAGGAGGGAGACGAGGAGGAGGAGGAAGACGAGGACCCTCACGTTCCTCTCAAGCCCCAAGCGCCCATCCGGAAATGGCGGAGGGCTTCTTCTGCTTGTTCTCCTGCAGTTGCCGACACTGCCGTTGCAACCGGTGGCGATGGCTACGCAGGTTGTGTTAAGTTTGTTGATTCTGCTGCTCCAACCTCTGATGACAAGTCGGGGTCCCGCGTACGGTCCGACATCGGAGAGAACGCGCGTGTCTACTTCACAAACCGTTGAGAGGTCGCGCCGTACAGAGCAGATCCGGTTTTGGCAATACCCTCACAAGAAATCGACGATTGATATAAATTCTTCGCGAAACTTAACTAAACTGCGTCCATGGGAATATTGGGGTGAGCTAGGCACTAGCCTTTGCTCAATCGTTCAGACGACGGAAGGCTTTTCTAGGCTCTTGCTCGAAAAATGTGCGACTTTCGAGCGGGGTCGGCCTAATCTACTTGTGTTTGGGTAGGCAGCTTCAGGTGTCTCTCGAACTCTGTCGTGGATACGATTTCGCTCTGATTATTGCTAAGCACTGGAATGCTCAAACAGGAAATCAAACAAGGAGTGAGCTGGCGGGGTCATGCGAGCTCAAGACAAGGGGCCCTGCAAATGTACAGAACACTCAACCAACCCATGGGGACAACCAAAGGGTGCAACTCCATGTAGCCGAATGTTTTTAACCGTAACACTACTGTAGCCTGCCTATAAGAAGGACGCATGAGGGGGCGAGAGCTGTACAGATAGATTTCCTGGTCTCGGAGTGATGCTTCGCTGTGTTTTGCTGGTACCTTCCCGACGGAACTCTTCTTTGCAGCCAATTGTGCGTAGGGCATCGCAAATCTACAATTGCGTTTCCCAGGTGTTGCGGTGGGCTAGGCCATTGAGGAGTCCGTTGTGCTCTGGGGGGAATGCAAAAAGCGTGTCTTGTAGTGTCATTGTGTCATTTAGCAAGGCGTGGGCAGCATTGACGGCCTGTACCGGACTAGCCTATACGAAATGATTATGTCAAATAGGAAACGCAAGTCTTACAGTGGTGGTAGCCAGAAGCCCATGGGGGCTTCTCTACATGTACACACACGGCGAGTGATTCTTCTGTGGTTGAGCTGGCGCTGTATCATCCGTACTTGGCAATTCATAGCATTCCCCCATCACCTTGGGGGAATATGGATCACCCCAACATTCATGACTGCATGTATTTGTTGCAGGAACCTTCGAGGTGGTTGAGCGGTGCATGCACACCTGTCACGCGGGAATGACTTACGTAGGAGCGTCGACGCCAAGCAAGGTTCACGACTTGGTTTCGATTGGATGCATCTTTTGTAGGATACTGTATTGGTCCGTCTGGTATAGGACGTTAGGTTTAGAATTAAACGCAGCGGTACAGTTTGTTGTCATGATCCTCGTTGTTCAACGTGATCGCCGAGAATGGCCAGAACTTGCCAAAACCTCAAGACACAGACTAAATCAGAGATTAATATTCAAAGAGTGTGTGGGGCGACTGGTGCGTCACACATACATAACCGCATTCCTTCCGCACACGAGCCCCCCCCCCCGGTGCTAGCTATCGTGGATGGGTTTTCGTCGCTTGGCAACGACGTTGTAAAACATGCCCTACCCTCAGTGTTTGCCATCGGGGTTCGGTTTTCGTCGCTTGGCAACGACGTTGTAAAACAAGCCGATCACTTTGCGAGTTCGGCAACCAGGTTAACGCTTTCTTTTATTATTGTGGTAACCATTATTATGTAGTCTATGGTGGTTGAGTAGATTATGTTGTGCGGGATCGACAACACTCACTCCGCATAAAGGGCATGATTGAACCACGTTGTGTTAATGGTTAAACACCCTCGAGGCAGTTACACAGTGCTTACAATTGTCTCAGGAAGTGTAAGCACCAGAAAATAAATTAACTCATACGCATCTGTCATCCGTCCGCAAGGAATTAAGCACAAGATGCCGAACACCCTTAGCAGGATGCAGCGCACCCTTCATGCGACTCGCCGAGTACCTCACGGTGCTTCGCTTTGATGATGTGAGAGCCTGGTCCAGCGAGAACCCGGCGTGTTCCGTCCCGGCTTTGTAGGGACGCGAGGAGGTCAATCGTCTAACGACTACGGCATGCACGACTACGAGTACATCCCCCTCCCGCCCCCGCCCCCAACCCCCCCCGGATATGGTGTAGGGTAATGTCGTTACACAGATGGTTCCTTGGAGGGTCCGGTGTGTAACAGCATTACCTTCAACGGCTGTACCTTCCCGTCTTCACCACCACCACCACCTGTGTGTCTGTGTTGGGCATGTTGAGGCGTAGAAAAAAATAAATATTCACCGCGTACACGGGGGTGGAGTGTAGTTGTGCCCTTCGTTTCTCTTTTCTCTTGTGTGAGAAACAGTGTAGTACCTACCAAAAGAAGGTGGTGTTGTTGTGTGTGTGTGTGCTTTCTTTCGTCCTATTTTTCGTGGTGAGACGTGCACTACACTTTTCAGTGTACTGTAGTGTGCACAATACGTACAGTGTATTTTTTCCTACACAACGACAACCATCCAGGGTCACACAGGAGGGGTGAATACCAGGGCAATTTCTTCTTTGTATTTATTTAACTGCGACGAACTGCCAACTGCCCCGCCGCTGAAACACGTTGAATGGTACCCGCGGGTGGGTTGTGTCCATATTTTTTTAAGCGTTGTTGGTTGTTGTACCCTTTTTTAGGTAAGTTTAGCCTGTGACCACGGGAATCGTTAGGCAAAGTGTTTCGATCAACACCGACAGATGAAGATACTGTTGGTTAGGGAGACCGGAACGGTTTGGAAGACACTGCTGTGTTTGGATTTACTTAGCAAATGTGTCCTGTCTTTCTGGGAGGTTTCCCTTCTAAAAAAGACAACAACAACAACAGCAGTTCTTCCAGAAGGTGGACGAAAACCCAACCAACGGTTGTTTGCTGGTGGGTCCGTCACAGTGCACACTACTATGCGTTCATCCGATCTCGGAATCCCTCAATTTCTGACACATAGATAGGTAGATGTAAGGACACAGGCTTCCCTCCGTTCGGATCGTATCTTGGTCCTACTTTTGTATGTGCAACAACAATGGTTACAGCACTTCTACACCTGTCATCCACAGATGGCGGTACCTCCCTTTTTGTTCTTCTGTCTCTCTTCTTGAGGAGGCGGGGGAGCCGCTTCACAACTCTATCGTATTTGAGATTGGCGGAAAATGTTTTTCTTGAACGTTGTCGGTTGTACACAAATAAATGTGCATATATATATATTCGCTTCCTACGATAGGACATTGGATAGGACTTGTTGGCTTGGGTGCCGAGCCCCTGTTTTTTTTTTTGCAAAGAGCAAACGCCCGTCAACCAGCGCGTGGTGTGGTACGCATCATCACATCGATATTAAGAAAAAAAAAAGCGTGAATATGTGAATATACACGTGTGTGTCCCCTGTAGACAGGGTGGTCCTCCGTCGGTGAGTTGCGCCGATGACATGAAGATTAAGATTTCGAAATGCACGCATAGACTATATATGTACGAGCAGGATGGGTAGTTTGACGCACAGGAAAAGCGATACACTCAAGACTACATCTCAATAAGCGTATGTAGTGTAGACTTTTCATACGGTGGGGATTCCCAACGTGGTCAACCATCACAGTAGGTCTGGCGTCTGACGGCGGGGTTCTCAAGAATAAAAGCACCAAACAAACTTGGCAAGCGACCGACGCAAGAATCCGTTAACTGCTGGATACGGCAGTCGGCAGTGCAATAAATACATACAATAGGAGCACCGAAAAGGGTACAATTCTGCGGCCCGATGCCCGATGCCACTCACTTCACCTGATTTTGTTGCCAACCAACAAGAGGAGCGGCGAATCGATCCCTCTCCGTCACCCATGGCCAGCTAGCGCAAGAGCTTCCGATAATCACGCTGCTGGGGGGGGGTGTTCCTGTACATAGAAACGATGCTGGTCCCCGGCGCTAGCAGGTGCCCTCGGGGAGCTTCAAATCTCACGCGGGGTCGTAGTCTTGCAGCCTGCGGCGGCGGCAGCAGTGTGTCTACCGGCATCTCGCTGATTCTCCTCTTGTGGGCAGCAACAGTTCCTGTTGTGCATGCCGATGTATCACTCGTTGCTCTCACGCTCCCGGAGAGCAACACCACCAGCGGATACTTCCCGCTCTCCAAGGCACTGAGGTCGGTCATGAGGCTCGCCGTGGACGATATCAACGGTGGGGCATTGGCGGCGACCTTGCCGGACGCCTCTAAGGCTTCGCTGGATGGAAATTTGACGCTGTCTGTCGTGGAGGTCGCCACAGGCAGCAGGGCGATTGAGGGCCTGTGCGACGCGCTCGAGTACGTCGGAGAGAACGGGACTTTCGGGGTAGGTGCCAAGGCCGGGAGAGCCGCTCGCTGCTCTACCTACTACCTGTGTGCACCTTGTCGTAGTTGCCTACAGTACACCAGCCACTGATGGTGGATCGTGGTTGGGACACAACACTGCTGCGTATGCAAGGATCGGTGCACAGGTGGTTTTTGAAGAGTTGGTTGCGGCTGAATCTGCGGAGATGAGATATTCTGGTGAATATTTGTGTGTGCGTCGGGGATTCGCATGATGACCCCCCCGAAACCTGCTGCCGCTGGACCGAATATATATGTCTATTCCCCGTTTTATCTCTCTCGCGCTCTGAACTGCCCCACCGTAACAGCGCACCATTCCGTTCTGCTACAGCAGTCTAAATGGTCGAAGATTATGTGGGGTTTTTTTATATCGTATCGGCGAAGTATTCGGCTGCGTTCCTTCTGAAATGCCCGTCGGCCAAGATGGTTGAAAACAACAGCACAGCTTTCCCAGGTCCGCGTGCCCGGCGCTCCGGAATACATACTGGACAATTTGCTTCATCATCACGTGCACGTGGAATGCATACGTACTCGTCCCATATGTCTATAAGCACGCCGGGCTGCTGCATAGCTTACATCTCAAAGATCGCTTTTTTTGCACCTTCTTCTCGTCGAACAACCTTCTATGCACACGCACTTTGTTGTTTGTGGCCGTTGCTGTCTTCATTAAAAAACGTTCCGGTCTCCGCTCAGTACCTTCTAATGTCCGTACCGGTCCAACGCGGACGCCTTCCATGGCACCAGCCAACTGCTCCAAAAGGGGGTACAATGTGCACCTTTCAAAAAATACCCCCAATAAAATATGTACAGAAATATGCTTGGGTATACCTGCAGCGACCCATAATGATAATGGGCGGTTTGTGTTTGGTGGTTGGTGGTTCGCAATTAATTTCGCCCCAGACATCCGACGGCCGGTCACCCAAAGGTGGTCTAGACTGCACAAATGGTTGTCCTCCTATAACTATGTAGAACCTGCAAGTGCATTGTATGTACAGCAGGTGGTGCAGTTCGCTCACAGCACTAGTGCCGTTTACTCCAAGCCGTGGTCACACAGAAGAGCCCCTCTCTACCCTCCCCTCCTGCGGTACTTTGCCTTCGATTTTAAATGCGAGAAGAGTTCAGCTCTCTCTTCCCTCTGTGTACACACGAACTAGCGCTATCCACCAGCCCAGGAGCGGAAGCGAGACCAAAACTCACTGCAGCAAGAAAAGCTCGCTCACGCCGGGATTCGAACCCCTTATTAGCAACAAACAGTAGAACGTTACATGGGATGGCGACATCAAAATTTGATCAACCCCCCGACGCACCCATATCCGAAGCAAATACCGTGGGTGCCGGAATATACCACACCCACCTGTGGTAAAAGCTCGAATACTCTATGACGGCGACGATACCGAAATCAAACGATCCGTTTTAGGAAAGCTCTCGACGGGACGGTTCCAAAAGGCGCCATTTGCGACACCGTCACTGATTTTGCTGCAGCGCAATTAATTGGTCTTTGATGTTCGGCCGACGGGGTGTGATACCCTCCGCAACGTACGGTAGATGCAGGCATGACATTCCCTCTCGTGTTTTTGGTGGGATTCCGTCACGGCTTACATCGATCACTCCAAAAGCGCCTCGAGTCGAAAGCGGGACAAGAAACAAACGACGGGATGGTGGACAAGAGGCGGTGGTTCGGCGCGATATTCTCACGCCACACTCACCCCCCGCCCCCCCCCCCCCCCCCCCCTTCTAAAGCCGGCCATA